GATCTGCCAGAGAAGTATTTCATGTCCTTTAGAGAAAAAGATGTAATAAAATTCTTGAGAATAGAGGGTCTTGAATTAATAAATTAATACAAGTTTTATCATTTTCTCATTTTGGGCTCTTGTAATTTTACTGATATTCTGTCTGGCTGACCTCTCAAATGGTGAATGCAAAATTGTGTCTCTGTCAATGTGTTTCTTAGATCTGTGAGAAGATTTATAAACATTTCTGCCCCTTCTTTTGGTGTACCCATGTTGATAAGCATTAGTACTTCTTACTCTATTGTTCTCTTAACCAATAATTAGTGTACACACCAATCCCTAATAAATTTATTTAGGGAGTAGAGTTTTCAGGGCATCTGGGTAGATGCCCAGAGTGGTTTTGTCAGAGCATATAGAAGTTAAATTCTTTCTTTATTAAGAAATGTGCATACTGCTTTCCAGAAATTATTAACCAATGTGCATCCCCATCAGCAGGCATGATGTTTCCTTTTCCCCCATATTCACACCAACATTGGTTGTATTTATTATTTGTCACGTGTTCCTAGATCACTTGTGAAGCAATATCTTCTTGTTATTTTGCTTTGTATTTCACTGATGATCAGTAATTCAGGGAATATTTATGTACCTGTTGTCCATCTGCTGGGCTTCTTTGAGAGAGTTTCTAGTCATCTCTTCTCCCCATATTTGATGGAGTTAGCTAGTTGTTTGTTTGATAGGTTGGTTAAGATTTGCCAGTGCTCTATATATTTTGGAAATTAACACTTTGTCAAATGGATGGTAGATAAATATTTTCTCCAAGTCTATAGGTTACTTTTTATTTTTTGTAGTGAATCATTTCTTTTGTGGTGCAGAAGCTTATTAATTTGATGTTGTCCTATTTGTTTATCTTCTCTTTGCTTGACCAATGGCATCAAATCATTGAAGATAACTCTGAATGTTCTATTTTAAAAGAATTACTTTGGCTCTTTGGGAGTTTTATGTTTTCATTCAAATTTTATGATTTTGGAAAAGATGGTTATTTTAATAATATTAATTATTCTAATCAGAGTGAACAAGGGAAATGGTTCCACTTTCTGTACTTTATTTATTTTGTTGGAAATTTATGATTTTTATTAGGTACTTCTTTCACCACTTTTGCTGAGCATATTCCTAGATACTTAATGTTTTTTTCTCACATGACAAAGGGCCTTTTAAATGTTTTTATTTTCTATCTTATTTACATATAAGAATGCTACATATTTATTTGCATAAATTTTCAAAATTTATTTATATTATTAAAGTTTAAGACTCTAAGAGATTTTTGGTTGATGTTAAGAGTTTTTAAGTATAAAATAACATTTTATGTGAATAATTCTCAGTTGTCTCTTCATATACCATTTAAATCTTTTTATTTTCTCTTTCTATTTTATTGTGACTATGCCTTCCCATATTATATTAAATGATAGCAGTGAAAGTGGTATCCTTGTTTTGTGCTTGATCTTATAGGAAATGCTTTCAAATTTCCCCATTAAGTATAGTCATTAATTGTAAATTGGTTGTATATAATTTACAATTTAACTGTGTAAAATTTCCTTAATCTCCACTTTGTTGATAGTATTTATTACAAACAGGTGTTAAAAATGGCAAATGCTTTCTCCCCAACTAAAAGCAATGATCATATAATTTTATGTTTTCTTTTATTAGTTTAGTATGGGCTGGAGTGATAGCACAGTGGCAGGGTGTTTGACCTACATGCGACTGACCTTGGTTCTATACCTTCAACCCTCTCGGAGAGCTCAGCAAGCTACTGAGAGAATACAGCCTTCATGGCAAAGCCTGGCAAGCTCCATGTGACGTATTCGATATGCCAAACCCAGTAACAATAAGTCTCACAATGGAGACATGACTGTGCCCACTCAAGCAAATTGATGAACAATGGGAGGACAGTGTTATACAGTTTAGTATATTACATTAATTGAGTTGAGTATCTTGAATCATATTTGTATGCCTGGGATAAATCCTATTTTATTGTAATGTATGATTTATTCCTCTGCCCCTCTTGGAGAGCCCAGCCAGCTACCAAGAGTATCTCACCTGCACAGCAGAGCCTGACAAGCTACCCATGACATATTCGATATGCCAAGCACAGTAACAAATCTCACAATGGAGATGTTACTGAGCCCACTTCAGCAAATTGATGAACAGTGGGAGGACAGTTCAGTGCAGTGCTGCTGCTCTACTTTACTAGGTTCCTTTTGATGATCTTTGCATCTATGTTCATATGGGGTATTAATAAGTAATATTTTTCTTTGTAATGTCTGTGTCAGACTTTGTTAGCAAGTTAATGTTCTCACAGAAACTGTTCACAAAGACTTTTTAAAAAATTTTTCATTATGTTCTCTTCAATTGTTTCTTTTATTTTGTTCTTGAGCATAATTATTTATCCTCTGCTTCCATCAATCTACCGCTTATTCTCTCCATAATGTTTTTAGTTTCCCTACTATGCTTTTTAAGTTTCAGTGATTTCTTACTAAAGTTATCTCGATCATGATGATCACGACCATCCTGTTATTCGTCGATTGCCTCGAGCAGACCCCAGTAATGTCTCCTTTGTCCTAGCCCTGAGACTTTTTAAAAAGTGCCATATTCAAGGCTCTTTCAGAGTTAGGAGAATGAGACCCATCATTGTTACCGGTATACGGCATATTGGGTACACCACGGGGAGTTTGCCAGACTCTGCCGTGTGGGCAGGTTACATTTGGTAGCCTGCCAGTTTGTCCAAAGTAGGAATGAGATAATAAGATGTCGTGCGGCCGCAAATGCAGCCACACGCTTCCAGGAGCTGGGTTTTATAGTCTCTGAGTCTTGGCCGTTGATGGAATTACACGGCGCCAGGGGGCCAGTTGGTGGGTGTGACCCCCGCCTACTGGAATTTGGAGGATCTGGGTGGAGGATCCTCAGCCCCGATCCAAGTAGGCTTGGAGATCTCAGTCCCGGGACCCGCATGCCTTTGTTCCTCTGCTGGTACCTTCATGTGTGCGGAGAGTGATCTCAGCATGGTGGTGGCTGGTTCTGCAGGTCTCTGGCTGCTGGAGCCCTGGTCGGGGTGGGAAGGGAAACTCAACCCACTCCCCTCCAAGGGGTCCCGGCGAGGACAGCCAGGCGTGGGGGCAGGAGACTCTGAGAAATAGTTATCTCACTATTTCTTTTTCTTGTTGGGATTTTCCTGTATAGTTTATTTCAATTTAATGACAGTGCTAGTCATTGGCACTTTATGTTTCCCACCAATGATAGCAAAAACCTTTGATATACTTCACACTTTTGACATTATCCATCAATGCAAGTGGGTTTATGCATTCTTTTATTGTTTTTAATGCTGTGTGGATAATAGGCACAAGATTAGCCATCCTGTGATGGTGAGGTGTCGATGATGATTTCATTCACCAATTCCACAGTAACTGGGTCAGGACTGGGATTTTGCTGTGTCGAGCTTATTGAGTTAAGTCACTGGCTGATCTGAGCTGCATATTTCTTTTCTCTTGGGGGGGAGGGGAAGTAAGGGCTCAGGGCACACTCAGCGGGTCTCAGGGCTTACGTTTTTTTCTTCACTCAAGGATTACTTCTTATGGTGCTCAGAGGGTTATATGTGATTCAGGGAATTGAACCCAGGTCAGCTATGTACAAGGCAAGGACCTTACTTGCTGTATTACTTGTTTCCTTCAGCGACTGCTTCCTGTTCCTCATTCCAGAGACCTAGAAGAATAGAAATCTTTCTTCAGGAATAAATACAAACTTGGTGGGTGCGGAAGCCTGTTTGGTTTACCTCAACTTTCTTGCAGCTTAGACTCTAAGCTCAAGGTTTGCTGCTCTTGCAGATGTACTCTCTGCTTTGTCCCGAAGTCACTGACAGAGAAGCACCCAGAACTCTCTAGCTGGGTATGATTACCTCACCAATTCTCCAGTGGTGTTCGACTGGATCCTGACTCTAGTGGAGAGCTGGTGAGGTAGACTAGTACAAGGACTCTATGGTTACAAGTCAACAAACTCTTGAGTGATGGGTATAATGTTGAAATGGCATCCTCCCTCTGTGGCTATATAGTGTAAATAGGACAATGGTGCATGGCAGCTCTGTTTAGGAATAGCATTCCTATAGATAATTTTCTGCATTCTAGGTACTTTTAAGGTCAACTGATAAGTTTTCTTCCTGTATGAGTTTGGGTGCCTGTCTACTTTATTGTGTGTGTGTGTGTGGGGGGGGGGGGGGTTCACAGGCAAGTGTGTGCTGGGTGCTAAGTGAATGAATACCTGTTAAGAATTAACTCTGTGTTACACAGAAACTTTAGGATTTCCCTGTTGCTTTCCAGATCTCAATGTTTCCAGGTATCATTGTTCTTATGCAGGTGGCAAGGGTTGGGACACCTTTTATAGGCCTAGAATACTTAACTTCTTTAATGGAACGTCCTTATTTTAATATTTCTGCTACTTTTGAATAACTCCTCAGAGGTGAGGTCGCTTGAAAAACCAACATTTGTGGCTTTTTATTTTGCACATTTCTAAACGCTTTATCTTGTGAGCACATTCTTGATTTTTCTCAGAAATAATTAATTATTCAATACATAGTTTTATATGATTTTTGTCTTTGGGAAAAGGTGTGAAAAAATTCTTATGTTTCCTTCTTTAACTGGTTCAGAATGATTTTTTAAAATCTAGAACAATTTTCAAAATCTAAATCTTATAAATGTTACTTGGTAGTATACTATGATTTTCTTTACAAGAATAATTCAATTGTCTTTAAATGTTACCTACCAAAAAGATACTAAATTCAAAAAATTATCTGCAATATTTAATAATATATTAAATTTACATTTATTATATTTCATCTCTATTTTGCACATTATTTTTACTATAGCATTATAAGTTATACTAATTTAATAATTTATTTGTATTTAACATAATAAGTAAGACACTAATTTTTATGTTTATGCAAAGTACTTTCAATTATTACTTAATTTTGGTTTTAGATTTGCAATGAACGCTTTCATTGTCAATGCGATGCTGGATATAGCCCTCCAAACTGTACACCAACACCATCATCACCAGGAGGAAGTCTTGATGATGGGAATTGGATTCTGACAAGTCAGTACTTAGACAAATTAATCCAATAGGTATTTCTTCACTTAGCAGTAATGTTCTACATCTCCAACAATTATACGACATGTGTATAGCAGAATTAAAGAATTAAACTTTGTGTTTTATTTATTAGGTTTAAATCCCACTGTGATTTTTAATTTTTATGCTGAGAAAATTATAGATACATAAGGAATTACTAAGAAATATAGAGGGGTTGAAGAAATAGTTTAATGTGCTTTTGCATGTTTTGAATATGGTAGTCCCAAATTCAACCAAATTCAATCCCCAGTCTGACATTGTTCCATGAATGCCACCTGAACTGAACCCCAAGCAATGAGCCAAGAGAAACTCTTGAGCACTTTGCTAAACTGAGAAAAAAATTAGAAGAAAGATCTTCGTGTATGTCATTAATCCTCTATATATCTTAACATTCTCATACTCTAATAATTATAAAAACTAAAAAATTGGTAAGATAAACTTAACAATTTATCTAACATCAAGCCTCCGTGTACCTGTTTATTTTTTTTAATTTTAGCCACCATGAGTTACTAGACTGTTAATGAAAGGATTTCCAGAACCACAGATTCCACCAGAGTGTCCACTTCCCTCAACCAAGGTCCAAGTATCCACACACACACACACACACACACACACACACACACACACACAAACAAATATCTTCCTCTTCCCCTACTATGAAAATCTTCCTACTAATGACCAAGTTTCTGTTGACTTTGGGTATTTGCTACTTCTTAGCTATGTTTACTTCAGATATATGAAAGAGATAATTCAGTATCTGTTCCTCTCCTTCTTAATAATTTTATTCAGCATGATATTCTCTAGATCCATCCACGCAGAAACAATTTGTATGATTGATTTCATCTTAGAATCTAGTAATAGTATTCAATTATGTGTGTGTATTACACGTATATATATATATAATATATATAACCCAATCATGTGTTCTTGGACACTTGGGTTGTTTACATAACAATGTGAATCTAAACATATTAATATTTTCCTAGCATAGTAACATATAAAAACTAATAAATTGTTAAGATTAACTGTGTGGTTTCCATCTCTTTGAGATTAATATTTTTGACTATCAGAGACTATTTTAATTTGCTGCCTAGTTTCCAGAAGGCTGAATCTAAACGTTGGACTTGGGAGTCTCCTGGTGGAGGGTTCCACAAAGAAACTGACAATATCATAATTTAATCGACGGTTTTGCCTGACCATGCCGCTGTTGTCCCAAAATTCCAAACGGGATCCACCGTCTCCTTTGTGCAAAATTCAACTTCACGGAGCAGGGAGAAAGGGCTGCAAAGTTTAAGAAGAGAACTCCCAGAACAATCACCAACTGGGAGCTCTTTGGCACTATTGCAGTAACATAGAAGATGCCCTCATTGTCAACATTGACGAGGAATACAATTGACTGGTTCAGCACCTTCATGATTGTGCGAAGAACGCCAAGAGAAAATTGTCACAAAAAGATGCTAGTCTTTGAAAACTCTTTTCTAAAAAAAATATTATTAGTGAAACACCATGAGGTACAGTTGTAGACTTACAAATTTTTGTGCTTGGGTTTCAGTTATATAATGATCCAGTACCCAGTACCCATCCCTCCACCAGTGCCCATTCTCCATCATTTATATATAGTTTTAAATTTATGTTAGTGAAACAGCATGAGGTACAGTTGTAGATTTACAAATTTTTGTGCTTGGGTTTCAATTGTACAATGATCAAACAGCCATCCCTCCACCAGTGCCCATTTTCCACCACCATGGCTCCCAGTATCCCTTCCACCCCCCCATCCCCCCATCCCACCCTGCTTCTGTGGCAGGGTGTTCCCTTTTATTCTCTCTCTCATTTTGGGTGTTGTGTAGCCAGAATCTGGAAGAAACCTGAGTGCCCGAGAACAGATGACTGGTTAAAGAAACTTTGGTACATCTACACAATGGAGTACTATGTAGCTGTTAGAAAAGATGAAGTCATGAAATTTACATACAAGTGGTACTACATGGAAAGTATCATGTTAAGCGAAATGAGTCAGAAAGAGAGGGATAGACATAGAAAGATTGCATTCATGTGGGGAACATAAAGTAACAAAATAGGAGATTAACACCCAAGAGTGGTCGAGATTAGTACCAGGAGTTTTGATCCATGGCTTGGAGGCTAGCCACACATTCTAAGGGAAAAGGGAGCTCAGATAGAGAAAGGAGCACCAAATAAAGGGTGTTCGGAGGATCCTCCCAGGTTGAGAGAAGCATACTGAAAGTAGACTACAGACCAAACATGATTGCCACTCAATACCTCTTTTGCAAGTCTTTGAAAACTCTTGAGTTTATTCGCCAATGTGGCTTGGTGTAAGTCTCAGGCAAGAGAACATCTGAGCTCACAAAGGAATGAAGAGAAGCGATCAAGGAAGACCTCAAAGAAAGAAGAGCAGCAGTGCTGGGAGATGTGGCAGAAGCCAAGTAAAGCATTCACAATGCCTGTCTGTCCTTCGCCAACTACAAGACCAAGTTGACTGCCCTCCGACATCGTAATGGATCTATCACATCTTCCAGAACAGCAATGGAGAAGATTATCCATGATTTCTACTTAGATCTCTTTGATAGCCACGTTCACCTGCCCACATAACAAATTCCACAGGATGGATATGTCATTCCCAATGTTCTCCCTTCCAAAATCCACAACATTGGCAACTATTGCTTGATCTGCCTATTGTCTGTCATATACAAGCTGTTAACTCAACTCAAGTAATCCTGAAAAAGATTGGCTGAACACTAGATGAAGGACAACCATGTGATGTGGTCATCGAAGCCCTAGCCAAACAGGGCGTTCACACTCAATACATCAGGATCCTCCGTGATCTGTACTACAGATTACTACCAGGATCTCACCATTCTACAGGGAAGTGATCATTGACATCAAGAGAGGGGTTCGGTGGCTCCAGAGGCAAAAGGACTTAGTCCAGAGCCCAGCAACTTTCAGAAGAAAAGTGAATGGACCATACATTAACTACGGCACCATTCTTCCCCAGGAGGGTAAGGGTGTTGCTCCCTTCCGCCTTACCTCCCCCCCACCCCCCACAGCAAGGTGGCCACTGCCTCAGAGCTTATAGGAAAGCCAGGTATGAGCCGGCGGTGACAGGGCAACTGCAGTCTCATGGGAACGGGGGCAGTACCAGCTCGTCCTTCACGCCCTACCGAGGTCATGAGTTGCCCCCCACAAGCGGCTCTCTGGCATGGTCATGGCTCCAGAGGCAAAAGGACTTAGTCCAGAGCCCAGCAGCTTGCAGAATAAAAGTGAATGGACCATGTGTTAAACTACACCGCCATGCCTCCACAGGAGGGAATTGGGTGTTGCTTCCTTCCGCCTTTCCCCCCCCTGGCAGCAAGGTGGCCGCTGCCTCAGAGCTTATACGAAAACCAGGTATGAGCCCGTGGTGATGGGGCAACTGCAGTCTCATGGGAAGGGGGGCGGTACTGGCACGTCCTTCATGCTCTACCGAGGTCATGAGTTACCCCCCACAAGCGGCTCTCCAGCACAGCCATAACACCAGACACACAGAAACCAATCTCATAATTATCTGGCTCTTTGCAGAAATCCAAAATTGTGGGCATGTGACATTATATGATTCTCATAACCAGCTATAGAAAACAAAATATTTCACAATGCCTTTTCAGCAATTCTGATTGTTTGGGGGGAAATTCTAAAACAATAATGGTGCATCTTTTGTCAAAATAATGAATGTAATCGATATAGAGAAGAGTTAAGTAGAAATCATCTGCCTCACAGGCATTTGCAGGGCTTGGAAGGGGTGTATACTGGGGTTCTTGGTGGTGAAAAACAAGTACTGGTGAAGGGAAAGGTGTTTGATCATTGTATAACTGAGACTAAAACCTGAAAGCTTAGTAACTTTTTCCACAGTGATTCAACAAATAAATATAAAAAGAAAAAAATAAATAAAAATTTTAAGTGGAGTTCATGCCCAATTCAATCAGTTAATCAGTGGCTGAATAAATAGCAGTACTCTTACAAAAAAAAAAAGAGGGGTTCAGCAGGGCGATACTGTTTCACCAAAACTCTTCAGTGCCACCCTCGAGAACATCATGCAATGACTAGGATGGGAAGGAATGAAAGTGAAGATAGACGGTCGGCAACTACACCACCTCCACTTTGCTGATGACATTGTTCGAATAACACCAAACATTATCTAAGCAACACAAATACTGGCTGACTTCGACCATGAGTGTGGAAAGGTCAGACTACATCTGAATCTCCCAAAGACAATGTTTATGAGAAACAGTTTCATTCATGAGGTTCTATTCACTCTCAATGGAACGAACATCTCCGAATGCAACAGTTATGTGTACCTAGGTTGAGAAATCAACATGACAAATGACCTGACACCTGAGTTGTGCAGGAGAAAGAGAGCGGCTTGGAATAACTTCAAGAGAATAGAAGAAATGGCTAAGTGGATGAAGAACCTCCAGCTCCGGGCACATCTCTTTTATTCCACTGTTCTTCCTGCATTAACATATGCCTCAGAGACCTGGGCCCTACGAAGACAGAATGAGAATGCTATTCAGGTCTCCCAAAGAAGAATAGAAAGAGCTATGACAGAAAGAATGCGGAGTTCCAACCTCTGTTGATGGTCTAGAATCAGGGACGCTGTCTCGTTTGCCAAGGCATCGAAAATCAGATGGACTGAAAACGTAATGAGATTTGGAGATGACCGCTGGACTAGAGCCATTACCGACTGCATTCCATGGGATGTCAAAAGATCACATTGCCGCCCACCTATGAGATGGTCAGTCTTCTTCGTCAAGACCCTAAACGATCAGGGTGAGGCTCTTCGTGTTTCTAGAATAAGCAGATGCCATTCTGCTACACTAGCACACGACGGGGACAAATGGAGACATTACTGGTGCCCACTCAAGCAAATCGATGAGTAATGGGATGTCAAGTGATCAAGTGCCTAGTTGGGTATATAATTAAGTTTATTTAGGACTTAATAGAAGGCATG